TCTCCTTATCCTTCTGCTCCTAATATCGTAGCCTCAGATCACCGAGGCTGCATGTGGTCACCAGTTGCTGCCCGTGGTCACCAGTTGCTGCCCATCAGCAGCACCCAATGCGATACCTGCTCCATTCCTCCCAGGGAAGAGGTGCTGGTGTAAGGACTCATGCTTTTCTGGGGCTGGAGATTCATCACTCCAGTGTGCAAAGCACCATCTTCTGCTCACAAGCAGCAAAACTGGGTCCAGCACATGATCTAGCTCCAGCAATAGCTTTGTAGCCCTCAAATAACATCCTCTGGCCTCCACAGTGCTGAGCATCCCTCCAGCAGGTCCGAGCTGAGAGCCCTGTGCTCTCCAAGACAAAGAACATGACACACAAATGTCCCTCTGTCAGACTCAGGCTACAGGAGAGAGATGGTGCCAGAGCAGTAGCTCTCCCCACTTCCTCCATGGGGTAAAAACAGTGGGCACAAATCCAGCTGCAAACAGCTGAGGCCATTCTTTGAAAACTTGTGCTGACTTGTTCCAAAGGATGGGATTTTTGAACAGCTGTGGTCTGTTCTCAACAGAATTGGAAAGCAATCAGTGCCCTGACCCTCTGGGTACTTACAGCACGGGATTGCACCAAGCTGCTGGGAAGTTCTGGTGTAATTTAGCTGACTCACTCAAGAGGGAGAGACCAGCACAATGTAAGATGAAACTCCAGCTCGAGTCCTCAAAACACCTCCTGTCTTTATGGCAGTTTGCACAAAACCCTTGCAGCCAAACTCACCCAAGCTATGTAGAGTGCTGGAATCAGGTGCTACCATCTCTCCACAGCTTGGTTCAATCTGAAATACTCTGGATAGGCTTGGAAACTTAAAAAAAAAACCAAACAAACAACAAAACCCAAACCAAAACACACCATATTTTTTGTTCTGGAGGGGGAAAAAAACACTGAAACACACCAGAAACTTACCTCTGATGTTACAAAAGGGTGGAATAAACCTATTAGAAGGTTTTCCAGTCAGGTCTATTGAAACATGCACAGAGCCAGGTCCTCTGCAGGTGAGGAATCAACTCTCCATTTTATTAATGTTTTGTCCAGATTCAACAGAAGAAATCAGGAAGCTAGAAGAAGTACAGAGGCCTTACATACAACTCTGGCTCCTGCAAGAGCAGTCCTTGAACAACCCTATCAGCTACCCTAATGTTCACATCCCATGCTGGTCACTGAAGTTCTCTGGAGCACAAACAAGTTGATCCTTACCAGGAAAGACCCAAATCAAATCCTCAGGCAGCACCTGTGCCCAGCTGGTGATTCTATTCCCAACAAAGCCAGTTGCTCCAGGTAGAGAAGCCAGAGAGGCTGGACAACTCTTTTGTCCATCACACATACACCTTGAAAAGAGGTTGAAGAAAGAGCAGAGTCATGATGACATGTGAAAATCACTGCAGGAATCCAGAGACAGTAACAATATGGGTTTTGTTATGTGCATACACAGAACAGCCTCCCATGCTAGTGTGTGCCAGGGAGGAGCTCCTGGTAAGTCTCATTAACTCCAACACAGGGAGGAGTCTACACATCCCAGCTATGGTTCTGCTTGCTCTTTGGACAAAAAAGAATAAAGTCACCTTAAGAACTTTGGACTCACATTGAGCTGATGAACTGATTCACACTGGCAGTGTGGCTGAGGCCTGGAGAGCTCAGCAGTACAGGGAAGGAAAATAAACCAAACCAATCAACACAAACCACACAGCAAAAGATTCACCCACCTTTCCTTACACACCACCCCTCTAATGGAAGGTTACTTAAAGGTTAGCTCTTAACAGAGGAGTCCAGGACTTTCCATCTTCCAGTGTAGCTGGATTTGTGTAGCAACATTACTGGGTAGGTTTGTCTCATACAGAAGAAAGGAAGGTGTATGCAATGAGAGCTCTGTGAAAACTTGCAGTTATGCTGTTGTTATTTTCAGCAGTTGCTTCTGATGGGCATCATGCTGAAGTATTGGGTTTAAAACCTATTTTCAGGACCACAGGCCAGCAGCTTTTCTCCAGCAAACATGAGTTATCAGTCTGCAAAATTACTGCCTCTTATTTCCATGCATTACATTGTAATGTCTTGTCTACTCTTGCTTCTACCAAAACATGCAGCTAAGTTTGCCAATTGGATTGTGGTTTAAAAGCAAATTCCTGTCGATTAGGTGTACAGAAGCTCAAGTGAAACCTCATCCAGTGCTCTAAACCAAACAAATGCCTTCCCTGTGGCAACACTCATACAACCACTGGCAAATTCACACATTACAAACCACCTTCATTCACAAATCCAAGCACAGATGGCTTCCCTAAATTTGGAACACATCTTTTCCACTGACCTAATTGTGACTGGACTGTAACAACTCAGATGACATGTTTTGTTGCTGCTTTTTTTTTTCATTTTAGCTAATCATAGCTGTGTCACACACTTAACTGCAGGGAGTCCTTAATATAGCAGTGGGCAAACAAACATCACACCAGCTTTGCAGAAGAAAGGGATGTGGAGGCCTTGGAGTTTGCTCACAGGGGTTAACCAGTGCTCTCCAGAACTGTTCCAGGCAGTGCTACATTTCTGCCTAAGCCTCTTAAGGGCATCAGTTACCCTTTGAATGCTTAAGGATAATCCTGATTTCAAGAACTGAGACTCTTCAGATGGAAATAGCATTTACCTTTGCAAACAGTTACTAACCAAGTGATACAGCACCCCTTGTTTCACAATTTTTTAAAAAAAAAGGTCAGCACACTATGTTTACAGTTACTATAAATACCAGTCTGGGGAGAGCAAAGAACTTCTCAGAAGAACTGTTATTTTCTGTGATTCAATCTCCTCAAACAAGCCTCCAAAATCCCTGTTCTGGGAACAGAGGATTCTCAAGCAAATTTCATGCACATCTGAATCTCACTACCAGTAAAGAAACCAAATCTAGCACCTTCCTTAAAAAGAACCCAAAAAAACCACCCCAAAACGCCCCCAACACAGCAGTCTGAATACAGTACTTTGTACTGTACTTGGCCTCCTAGCAGCAATATTCCATACAATATTCCGTAACACTCCTTGTAAGTTAAGGGAACAAGTGTCTGTTATAATTCCCACAAGGTGACCTGCCTCCTGCAAAAACAGCAACAATCACAACATTCTTGTTTCTTTAACATGCATCTGCTTAGGGATCCAAATTTCAGCTCAGCTTCTCTCTGACAACTGATCCTCACTCCATTACTGGCAGCTTCTACTCCAGTGAAAAAAAATAAAAGTAAACCAAAGGTGAAATAATTTCAAGATAAGAATTAACTGCTCATGCAAGGGGAAAAAAAAATTAAGGAATTCATAGTGTTTGGGTACAATGAATGTGAACACAGTCCAGGAATGTGTTGGTTTTGTTTTTCTAATTAGGATTTAGCCATGCTCCAAAACTGATTATTATAATCATAACATAGGATATGAAAGGATTTGTTTTCTTTATACACACATAACTCCATCACCTTATAAACAGCAAAGTAGCAGCAAACCAGCTCTGCTGTCACTTGTCTCTGGATGGTACTTGTAGCCCAGAGGACTCAAAAAAAACCACCTCGAGGAGAACCACCTCTCCTACTGTTTCTCATCAGGGCAGCCCAGTATTTACAAACACCAACATTGTGCACCACCATGTCATGTATCCCACAGTGTGGGGGCTGAATTAGCTGATAACCCTTGGAGCAGCCCAGAATCTGTTAGAATCTGCTAGAATCTGCAAGATTGAATCTCCTGCACAGGGCTGGAGCTCAGTATCAGCTGAGACAAGAACTGCAGCCTTCCTTCTGTCCTCGTGCACTTCTGGCAGAGCAGATGCCTCCTGCTGTCCTTTCTGGCTGGGACCCAGCAGCTCTCCCTTTTCTTTGCGCCATGTTCCTAGTTCAGGTCACCTCCTTCTCCCTTCCTCAGCTCCTTCACCACCTTCCTCCTTTCCTGCCACCAATTCTCTGCTTTCTCCAACCTAAACACAGAGCTGAAGACCTACTGAAGTGCCTTTGCAGAGGGCTTGCATACACTACAGAGCAGAGCCCAGTGCCTTGGTCTGGCAAGATGCTGCCAGAGCCCATGCCCTGCCAGTGCCGAGTTGCTCCTGCACTGTGGGTGTTCTGCTGTGGGACAGGGATGGACAGACAGTTGCTTGCAAGGAATGTCTGTTTGCTGCTGCAGGTTTGCAGGACCAGGCAGAATTCCCAGAAGACTGGCAATCCTGCTATGCTGTCACAGATTTCTCTCACCTCCTGGAGGGCTCAGAGGTCACAAAAGAAAAACTGGCATCTTGATCTTGTAGAGAAAGCCCAAACCCAAGCTCAGTCAAAACCACTTTGCCAGATAAGCTTTATTTACAAACATACAAACTTCAGACTTGGTGTTGAAAAGCACCAGGACCACAAGCCCCAAAGACAGATCATCACCTCTTTGATGAGCATTATGAGCAGAACTGTTTCAAATTATAAAAACACTTCTCTTCCCCTCTTTAAAGCCCCTGTGGCAAGTTCTGGATAATCTTGTATCCTCCAACATGCTACAAGCTGCTGGTTGCATTAAGTTTTGCTGTGAAGCATCCAGAGACCTTGGCCCTGCACAGCACTGCCCTTTTGTAACAGTCCTCAGCTACAAGTTTCAATGATCATCAGGAACACAAACCATCAGCCAGGGAAGCTGATACTAACTCCTTGAGATGTGAGGAGAAATAATTTACAAAGGGCATGGAAAAAAAAAAAAAAAAGATCCCATTGCCACTCCAGCATGACACCCCAAAGCCAACATTCTCAATATCCAAGGCTAAAATTATGTTCTTTCCTTTTGCTTTTCTACTCTTCCTTCCAATTACCAATCCAAAGGTGAATTCCTCTCGGGGAGTCCATTCAGTCCTGAAGCTGCCACAGCACAGTGGTGTTGCAGTGCCCCTCACCCTCTCTGATGTTTTCTGAACTGAATCCTAGTACTTAGAGGCTGTAACTACCTCTGCTTAAACAGATCAGCAGACATCACTGGCTTTAAGACAGTTTTGTTTTGCCTCTTTTTCTGCAAGTGGCCAGGAAACCTGGATGTGATATGGCTCTAGTTCTTCTGGAGTGACATAGTCTGGAGCACTGCCCATCAGGTCCCGTCCCCTGAAGGATTTAGGAAAGGCAATGACATCTCGGATACTCGGAGCGTCAACGATGAGAGAGATCAGCCTGTCAAGTCCTAGAAAACAAATGGGTGAACCACTTGAGTTATGGCCCTATATTACTTCCTGTGAGTCAGAAAAATCAGAAAGATGGAGTAGATAATATTACTGAGCTTGAAGAATAAAACTGAAGCAAGTAAGCGGGAAAAAAAAAGAACCCTGAGCAGTAGCAGAGAAACAGAATTGCCTCGAGAGTAGAAAAGCCAAGGAAAAATAAGCTTTTCAATGTTAGCAAAAAATTCTGCACCACACCAAGGACTGTAAGACAGAGAGTGTCTTTGCCAAGACAGTATAACAAGCCAGGGCAGCTGAGTCACAGGAACACTGCCAGGGCTCTGTTGATCTGCTCAAACAAAGCTCTTGGTCAGCCCCTTCTGAAGGGTTACAAGAAGTAGGAGGAATTCAAAAAAGAACAAGAGTCTCTGGGTGAGTGGATGGAGGGAAATCACACTGGAAGACCACAGGTTAAAATGCCAGCTTTGGTTTCTGGGGGAGGTTTTTTTGGTGGGGTTTTGTTGTTTGGTTGTTTTTTTAAACCACAAACTTGCAAGGTTCTAGAAAAAAAGTCTGACATTCCTGGGACCTAATATGCCAAGAAAAGAAAAAAGTCACATGACACCTGCATCCTGGAGAGCTACAGAGCACTTACCTAAAGCGATTCCTCCATGAGGTGGAGCTCCAAACTCCAAAGCCTCAAGCAGGTGGGAAAGCACCTCAGAATCCTCCTGCAAAAACGACCCAAGTGTCACTGGAGAAACAAGGCTCTTCCTACTCATAATGTAAGATGAAGGGATGATGGCTCAGGGCTAGGAGTTATATTTCTCTACGAAGCACACGAGTGTCTCTGACAGAATCTGAAGTGGCTATTTAAATTAAATAGCCATTTGGATCTCCAAGAGGATGTTAGAGACATCCTCAGGTGTTACCTTCAGCACATTCTCCAGCACAAAACGCTGCAGTTCTGCACTATGAATTCTGATGGAGCCACCTCCAACTTCACTGCCATTCAGCACAAGGTCATAGTGTTGGCTACGGACCTGCAGAAAGAAATTAAGCACCTTGGCATGGCTGGGGCACAGCTGAGGCACAGCTGCATCTCACACCAGCCTGCACAGACAGCAAAAACACTGGGAATGAAGCCATGACATACTGCAACACTGCCCTCTCAGTTGCAGTACAGGTACCTGTACTTTGGGGGTCACCGACTGCTGCTGACAGGGGTGGGAACAGTACAAAACCTTTTACAAAGTTGATCAAAACCTGAAGCAACACAGGATGGGTCAGAATAACTCCTCCCCTTAAGCAACTGTTTCCTATAAGCCCCTCTTATCAGGAGCACATAAGGATATTTGCCACTCACAGTAACCTGGAAGCCATCTCTTCCAAGCAGACTTGTATAATACACAGTCAGTTCCATGATCCTTAAAACCTTCTTTAAAACTAAGAACAGCTCCTCCCTGCCCAGTTTTCCATGATACAAAGCTACAAAAACAGCCAGCCTGACAGGCATGAAGTAAGTTACCTTTGCAGGATCTGAATAGAGGAGACTGGTATCTGAAGGATGAGGGGCAGTGAAGGGGTGATGAGCAGATTCCAGTTGAGTGGGATTGTTTTCCCTGGGAAGGAAAAGGGGGAAATCCACCACCCACAGGAAGTGAAAAGCTGCAGGATCACGAAGTACCAGCCCAGCTGCCTCAAGGAGGTCAGCACTCTCCAACCTCAGGCTTCCTAAAGCAGAGCACTGCAGGAGACAGGGGAAAGAACCAGACAGGGCAAATTTTACTGTCAGGGAAGTCACTCAAACACCAACCAGGGAAAAGTGTCTTCTAAAGGTAGTATCACAGACAGCATGTAATGCATTGCTGCCTTAAGCACTTTCACTTTCTCTCCCAGCAGATAGCCCCTTCCTGCTG